TTGCGACCGAATGAATGAGATCTCAATTGCTTACAAACAGAGGGTTAAAGATAATCCCGTTTTATCACACGATTTGAGTACAACTTCTTCACCAATTGAAAGATCGGACGTCTATTCAACGCCTAAACCAAAGAAACCAACGACTGGTCAGAAGAAGGATATTAGAGATAATAATATTCAAAAGAGTGAATATAATTCAGATTTATTGGACAAATTGAATACAAGATTAACCACTGATTGTCAAGAAGTGGGCGAAGTTTTGCCAAATGTCGGAAATATGATGTCAAAAATTCTTCTTAACATTAGTGACGGTATTTTATTGACATATTTTGAATGATTTAAACTGATTTAATCTGTTTTTATTGATAGCCTTTCAGATTCTTTCGACCAAATGTAAGGATCAAAAATTCTTTGATTAAACGCCAATTTTCTAATATTTAGATTTATTTTATATAACTTTTAATATAATTATTAAACTACTTATTTTTTAGTATAGCATTTGATTTTTTCATATTTTTTTTATTAACGTTAGTAAATGTTTGCGTATATTCTGTATCTTAAATAATCATGTTTCTAACTTTGATTAGTTTCATAACTGATTTATATATCCAATTATTCATTACTCTATTGCATAAAACTACAATTAAAATACTTTATAATACAAATAAATTGAAATAAAACATTGTAATTATTCACTCGCAATACTATTGTTTAAATTTAAATAAAATTCAGTTATCATTAGTTATCGTTTTAATCAAAAATTATGCAAAATTGTGTGAAAATGTTTGGACAATCAGATAATGAGATAATATGGGAGAAAAGTGTGGCGAAGACACCAGAAAGAAGTGTAAATCGTTTTGTTTGTCACGAGTCTGTGAGGCGAGTGCTCAACGACTGGGGAACAGTTGACTTCGTAAAGCCGGAGCTCTTAGACAACAACGATCCCAAATCATTGGACATCAAATATCTATCGCTGGGTTTCGTTAGAAATGAGACCAAAGGGAAGTCAATGTCTCCCATTCTTACCGAAGCCAAGCTCTTCCACAGGCCGTCAGACGATATCATAACCGACGAAGAGATTGAATGTCTGCGCGCTTTGAACTTCTCTATAGTGGGAGTGATGTTAAATGAGGGGACGTTTGCCACGATCTACGAGTCCAGACACGAGTGCGGTCTCGATATTGCCATTAAAAGAAGTCTAGCGTTTGGACAAAGTTATGCCGAATTGAATGCATTCACAGCGCTCTCCAAACACGACAATATTGTCGGCTTCTATGGCTTTCAAAGAATCGGTTGTCGAATGTATTTATTCCTAGAGTTGACACAATCGGGAGATTTGGCTCACTATCTGTTCAATGAGTACAGAGACGAAGACTTGTCCGAGAATGAGATCCATGGCATCTTCTCCGATGTGTTCAAAGGTGTCCAATACATGCATTCAAAGGGTTACAGTCATCGAGACCTTAAACTACAGAATGTTCTGGTGTTCGCCGAGAAGAATGGAGTCTCACTTCGCCATAAGTTATGCGATTTTGGATCAGCTCGTGGAGACACCCGACTCACAGATGAAAGTGTAAAACTGAGCACCACTTTAATCGGTTTCATTCAATCAAAGGCACCAGAAGAGGCTATCTGTGCCTACAATCCAATAGTGAGTGACATCTATTCATTGGGAGTGATTCTCTACCAATTGTCACATTCGGGTGACTTTCCCTTTGGTTTGTTTCAAAGCAACCAAAACATAAAGAAACTGATCGAGAATCTCACTCTTTGCAAACTGTGGTCAAATTCTATCACTTATTCGTCTTTTATTTCCGAAGACTTGAGGAATTTATTGAAACGAATGCTCAGTCCTTTCCCAAAATTTAGGATTACTTTGGATGAGATTGAATCCCATGAATGGTTTGTCAAAGAAGACAGACCTTAATGTAAACATTATCCAAAGATTGTCTTAAAATTTTTATCAAAATAAATGTTTTTATTGAAAATCAATTTTGTGTGTTATTTCAAAACTTAAACAAATTTTAGACAAATTAATAAAATAACATAAAAATCTAATTAACAATTTTGAGCCATGAATTGAATGCTCTATTATTCTTCTTTTTCTTCATTTGTGGGTCCTTTTATTGAACGCGTTATAACGCGATTTGCATGCGTCCATAAGAGTACCCACAACACCAACCACTACACAGGCTTGTAGTCCTATCAGTGTTAAACGATAGGCAGTCTCACCGCCGGATCCGCTTTCAAACTTCTGTGATTTCGCATCAGTGAATTCGTTTCGCACAATCAATAGCTTTGGAGCGAACTTTTTGTTCGCATCGATAGTACGGGTGACCAAAGAATTGGGAACTCTTGAGATTGTCGTCAACTTTGACAATAGATTTGATGCCATTTTTATTAACGAATTTATTGATAGTTTAGGAAATATTTATGTTTTGTTTGCTTTAAATTCAAACAAATGATAGAATTATACTATGAATTGAATTTTAGGATAACTCGCGAAACATTTGTTTGACTCAATTGTTAATTAATTAATGAATTTATTGAATGTTTTTACGGTACCGTAAGTTATAAAATATTGCATTACTGTTAGCTCGACTAAATAAAACCAAAAAACAGATCGAGATGATCACTGTTCACAAAATGTGGTTAAAATCTGCCACTTATTTGTCTTTTATTTTTTGAGGACTTGAAAAATGTATTGAAACAAATGCTCAGTCCTTTCCCAAAATATAGGATTACTTTGGATGAGATTGAATCCCATGAATTGTTTGTCAAAGAAGACAGACCTTAATGTAAACATTATCCAAAGATTGTCTTAAAATTCTTATCAAAATAAATGTTTTTATTGAAAATCAATTTTGTGTGTTATTTCAAAACTTAAACAAATTTTAGACAAAT